GTTGATGGCCTTGATTACGGTGGCCCACTCGCGATCGCCTGGTTGTATAGCTTTTGGTCGATTCCGTCTCTCGGAGCCTGTAACAACTACTCCTATTAAGATAACACCCATCTGGAAGCCGGTTTCATCGAAGTTGTAGGAGTCGTCATCCGTAATACCGTACTTCGCCTTTGTATTGCGCACAAGCTCAAACCACGGCGCAATAATCCTTGGATCTTCGCATAGGGCTCTCTGGTGATCGTACTTTCGATTAAACCGTGTTTGAAGCTCATCAGTCCGCTTGACAAAGTTGTATGGCCAGTTCTTGCCAACCTGGCCGGCACCGCGCTTATTTAGCAGCTTATTAGCCATATCTTGTACAGCGCTCAGCCGCGGTGCAAACCCTCTCGAATCCAGGTCAATTATATGTTGAATAACAACTGATTCCTCCAGCTTTGTAAGCTTCTTTGAATTGGGCTCGCAATCGCGTCGGGCGGTTGTTCCGGCGCGTCGTCGTCGTAGGGTTGTTCGGGGGACGTTGTATGTTGCAACAGCGCGTCGCACGCTCTTAAACTGCTTTTTATCGATTGCTGAGATAGCTATGCATATCTGGCCTTCTTTTTGAATTGATTGCGTATTGCGTTGTTGAGGCATGGTGGTTGAAAGTTAACGGAGCGCGTTCCGGTGATGAGGTGGGCCACTCGCTTGGGTGGGCCGCTCGCTTGTGGAGTACGTTAGCACTTTATGTGCACATATAGATTAGTGCTCTGGTTGTGTAAGCATGACACTTGCCAGGCAAGAGGAACTAAAGGCTTTGTGCCTTCGACAGTTTTGAATAGCCCAGAACATGACGTTGCGACTGGTATACGTTCTCCTGGAATGCTGAAGTTCCCAAGATCAGATTTATAGATCGGGAGAGTGACGATTCATGGCAGTAAGCCATTAAAAGTTGTCAATTATATCATCAAACTGATCGTTACGATCAGTCTTCGCCCCCGACTTCCGATCCTTGGAGGAGGCCCGCCGCTGTAGGCGGGGTGCCCTCGTTATGGCGTGCTTGCGTTGACGTGATGGACCATCACGTTCAGCCAACTCTACTGCAACGAACTCGTCAATCTCAGACGTAGAATTCTTCTTGTCTTCTTCGAGTTGTCGCTGAGCAGAAGAACTGCGGCGGTTCTTCGAGCCTCGAGACTCTCTACGCCGAATGGTCGGCTGGAAAAGCTGCTTGTAGATCAAAGGCCGGTCAGCGCTTCGGTCACGATTACGGAGCCTTTCCACGAGAGCGTCTTCCTGGCGGTCTTCGCTCGTTTTGCTACGTCCGCGTGGCTCTTCAGCAGGCCAAGCAAGACGGTCGGAGGCACGTTTAAGCCTCTTGTCTTCATCCGTCTTGCCTTTTTCTTTTGTGGTATTGAGCGTCCAGGAATCGCGCTCAGATCTCGCCTGACGTTGCTCAGTCTCATCTTCGTGACTAGCGGAATTATTCGGTTGGCTCGACTGTTGGGAAGCGTCGCGGCCAACAGCAGGAGGGGAACTCCAGTGGCGTGGCATTCTGATGTGTTTGTGATTTGGTTGACTTTGATGTTTTGAGTCTGAAATTTTGTTGAAATTTGAGGGGGTTTCAAATTGGTGAAGAAGATATCGAGAGTTGGGTTTGAGTGCTTTATATATCCGCAGGTTCAAAATGAACAGTGGTATATATTGTCCTACGATGTATCTTTGAGGATGCACATGTTCAATTGAGCTATGTCAACGCTTACGAATGCGCCTGTCAATCTTCACAATGATATTAGCGTTGTACAACAATCTATCAACTTCTTGGTAGAGCAGCTTTATCCAGGGCGGCTGCTGCAGATAAGATAAAGAAGAACTGAAGTCAGAGGAAGATGGCTTTTAAGATACTATGAGAAGCTCTGAGACACTCACCGAGACTTCGTCATGTAGGACACAGGGTTCTCGCAGCACCAGATGTGAAAAGATCTCAGAGCTAAAGAAACTCGCAGCAAAAGAATGATCAAAGAGCAAGCCTAAACATACCACTCCACCCCGAGCCCCACCAAGGCGACGTGTCCTCGTCCATTGCAAAGGAACACCGGTGTTCACCGCATGGCTCAAGTGTGACGTCACGACATATCGACCTTCACCGCGACGACTTCACCTGGGTGCCAAGACGGAGAACTCCGTGTCCTTGCTCGAAACCTTGGAAGCGTCACCTGCGTGCAAATGCCCCGTGCCTACTTTTATCAGCAGTTGGGTTTCCCCGTGTGACCTAGACATTGTTCTTGCGCGCACGGACGTTGGCGAGGTTAAGCTGCGGATGCCACATACTCATATTGCACGTGATAGCGCCTTGAATTTTGAATTTCGAACTTAGCAAAGGAATTCGAGGGATCAGGGGATGTATTAGTATGATATCCTCAGGAGCGATGAACTTGGATGCGACTCGTAAATCGATCTTCGAGCCGGTGAAACCAGAGCGAAGGGAGGTATTCCCCCTTCATCACCTCAATTAACATCTCCAAAAATATGTAGTTCCTCAAAGAAATTGATATACCTAGATACGGACGAAGCTATCTTCCATATCCCGAGTATGTATCGTCTGAAGATGATCCGTGCAAAGCACATGCCAAATGCCCAAGCCAGCTGGGAGTCCAACCACATGCCCCTCATCTCACCATATCTCCATCATCCTCTGTCTGCGAACCCGATCGATCTTCGTACCCACAATCCAATAGCATCAATCCACGAGCCTTCCTCCCCAAGACAATCGCCATGGCCTCAACCTCCAAAGACGTACGAAGATACTACCAGCCCCCCTACACCAGACCCTCATCAACATCTTCCCCCACGAACCCGCCAACCAAGCCAGCAGCCCCGAATCTCCCATCTTCTTCTCATCCAGCGAATCCAATCCCCACATCTTCCGCCCGCCCAACGAGCTCACCAGTACCCAAGCCAGTCTCAAAGCAAGACACCCCCTCCTCGTCCAACTCTAATTCGAACTCCAAAACCGCCTCAGATTCGAACGCCCCATCTCCCACGCCGTCCCCACCCCCATCCACCCCCGGAAGCAGCCTCACAGCAACCCCCCCACCCCTCGCCACCAACACCATCTGGATCCAGCCGCCCTACTACGACTTCGTCCCCGCCGCCCTCACCCTCCCAATCCCCAGCTACCTCCACTTCGCCTTCCCGCCCTTTCCGCACGCCACGAACCACTCCATCGCCCAGTCGTCCGCCGACCACCCCTGCACACCCTACGCCAACACCACCGCTCCGGGGTTCTGGTCCGGCGTCGTCGACGAAAGCTGGTACATCCCCATTTCCCCCACCCCCACCGCCGCCACCAACAAGCGGGTAGGAAGGCAGGATCTGACGCCCATGCCGGTGTGGGAGCTCTACCTCGCCACCGCCGCCGAGCCGGTGTATTTCTTCGACGCCGGCGGCACGGACTCAATTGGCTGGAAGTGCGTGAAATACGGGGTTGTCGGGGTTGTGAACCCGGTTGATGGTGTGAACGGGGGCGAGATCGGGAGGGTGAGGAGTCTAGCGACCGGCTCGACAGCGGCGGGCGCTGGGGTGGGGCCGCCGGGCGCGCCGAGGGGAGGGGAGTGGGTGTCGACGATTGGGAGGGCGGGGACGACGGGGGCAGGGCAGGGCGCGTCGACGAGGGTGGTTGTGGCGACGGGGACGGGTGCGGCGGCGGCCAGCGCGTCTGGGGTTCCGAGGGGCGGGAAGGGGGTCTCGAGTGCGGCAGTTGGGGGGATTGCGTTTGCGGGGCTGAGTGTGGTTGGGATTCTGATTTTTGGGTGGTGTGTGTTGAAGAAGCGGCGGGATGGGAAGACGAATAAGAGAGGGCATGTCAGGGATTCGTCGAGTCTGGAGTTTCGGGATTCTGCGCCTGCGAGTGGGCCGGAGATGGGGGGTGGCTATATGAGTGTGAGGCGTGAGGAATGAGGTTGTCGTGGGGTTGTTCGAGTAGATGGCTTTTTCCTCCTTTTTGTAGTTTGTTGATGGCAATTTCGAGGGTAGATGACGGAGGGTGTGGATAGATGCTCCTAATAGCCCCTAATTTCCTCCAGTTCGAAGTTCAGGCCAGCTTCTCTTGTCGTTTGTGATTTCTTGAAGGGACTGAGAGCTCCCAGAAGCCACTGCACACCGTGTCCAGCCTTTTTGACCTGCCGCCCGATCTTGCGTGCTAGGCCGCCGACCATGCGGTATGCGCTCTTGATTTGCCACTTGATGTCACTACGGAGCCAGCGAAAGCGTTCTCGGGGCATGCTGAGCTTGAGGTGATGCGGCATCGTGGATCTGAGGCTGGAGACGGTGGAATTGGAGATATGGGTGTCGATGTCAGGGGCTCTAGGAAGTGTGCGTGCCAGCGCTGAGAGAGGTTGTAGAGGGTTAGGTTTCATGAGTGAGCTTGAGGAAGAAGGACGGTGAACCTAGATCCGGGTGTAGGCGGAGAAGGTCTGGTGATTCTGATCATGGGCTGCCTTCACCTTCGCGTTGTGGAAGGTTTGATAACATGACTGCCCCTGAGGCCCCCCTACGTGCTTACGATTCACTATCTGGGTAGATTAGCTCACACGACGAAGCGTCCCGTGCCGTTTCCCTACTTTTCATTTTGATTTGCGCTGCTTTTTTGAGTAGTTTTGATGAAATAGATACGCATTTTGCCGCTCCTGAGGGTGGCGGAGAAGCTTGTATGGGCGGCCGAACATTAGCCTTGATCTCCTTCCTCCTCCTGCCTGAGGGTATCTATGCCATACCCTTTCCTACAGCTGCTAGAGGAGCTTCAGCCAGGGTTGTTCATCCTCAGCCTGCTGTATAGTGGTGAGGTGGGGAGGACATTGCCCGTCTTGGCGCTGACGTTGCCGGGGCGTCGAAAATCCTGTGTGGATTCCCGAGTCAACACCAACTTCGCTGCCTCTTCGCCCCTCAACCTCTTCTCCTTCTCACCCACCCACACATCCTCCACCACAACGTCGGTATGTGCGGCCTGCAACGACATACCAAGACCTGGATGGCATCCTAGGCGAGGGCAGCAGATGCAGTGGGCAAGGCGGAGGCCTCCAGGGCGGCGGAGGCGTCGTTCTTTGCCACACCAACAGTCCGCTGCGGTGACAGGACTCACCTTTCGTAAGCCTTCTTCATCTCCCCTCTCACACCCAAGTGCCTTCACAAGCTGTACTCGACCTTCTCGGAGCAAGATGGCACGCCGGGGCGTCGACGTCGCTGCTAGCTGGTGATGAGGGCTTCGAATTGGCGAAGGTGGCGATGAGTCTTCCTCCATCACGCTGGCATCTCTTGCTCTCCCTTGGTGGGACCATCTTCGCTTAAATGAGAGCTTGTGCTGACCATCCTCTTTTTTAGCCACGCACACCGCGAGTAGGGCATCGGCGACCTGCCTAGGAGGGCTGTCGGCCTTCGGCAAGGCCCAGAAACCTCTGCCCACCACAAGACCTCGATGATTGAGTTCCTGGTAAGTTCGAATCTACCAGCTCTTTTCCTCTTTCAGTCTCCTCAATGCCCGGCTGAGCTATTCATTGGGGGCCGAGCTTCTCTCCTGGTCGGTCCCCACTACGCCAGCCAAGAGCAAACCAAATTGCCCGGGCAGGTTTCAGTGGCCGCCTAATGGGGGTTCCTCACGGGCCTCCGAGGCCTGACTACTGCGACTGCCCGGTGTCGATCGATGGAAGGATGACATCTCGAGGGACGGTGACGCAAATCTCGGGACTCTCCTCCATCGTACATTTCTACTGGAATGACTGCTGTTTCTCTCTTGAGGCTTCGCTGACTGGGGTTGCGGCTCTCCAGGTCTTCGGTTTCTCAGGTCTTTACGTTGTCTTACATCTCCTCCGACTCTGCGCGAGTCGCCCTGTTTTTCGATCTTGATGGCATTGTCGAGCCCCAAGCTGCATACAGCTGCCCTCAGTCGGATAAAAAGACCATGTATGATGGACGGCGATCTTTGTTCCAGATACTGGATGCCGAATCTTTTCGGTGCGTTCAAGGAATGCCACAAGTCCAGACGGGCATCGACGTTTGGAACCCATGCTGGCCAATACAAACATCTTCTTTCAAGGGACCGGACTCTTGGATACTCTGGATACCAGTGCTTGGGGTGTTGGTATGACATCGGGCTTTCCATCTGAGCGTTCTCAGGTCCTCTTGGCCTTCAGGGGCTCGTCACGTGCGCTATGGTCTGTGCTTCCTCCGAATGGTTCCCTCAAAAGGCTGTTCATGTTTCGAAGCGGGGCCTCCCGCCAGTCCGACGATCGAACAAAAGGAGCTATGTCTAAGTCCCGGGTCAGCTTGTGCAATATTCAGCGTAGGCTGGGATCATCTTGGATGCTCGAGTGTTCTTGGAGTCTATAGTGTCGACTCGGGGATCCTTCATTTGAAATGTGCGGACAGCAGACCAGGTCACACAGGCCGTTGACGTCGTTATTGCCGAGGAAAGAGGAGATGTGCCCGGAACCTCCATGGATCTGGTTATGCACGGAGCGAACACAACTTTGCTGTATAGCATTCAGGTATGCGAGCCCTCTCTGAGTGTTTGTTTTCTAGTTCATCGCCAATACCGTTCAAATCTGAGCCTATGTTTCTCGGAAATGGGTCTGATGATCTCGGAAGGCGCGTGCAGGTGTCCTTTCATGTTTGGCCTTGCACATTTCGCGGGCGGGCTCTCCTCGGTGGATGCCTTCTTTTCATTGTTGTCTGGCTCCTTCTACTTCTGGTATATGCGTCAGCTTTACGTTCTCTCCTGCGAGCCCTCCAACTCTCCCTGTCGTCAATGTCCCGTTCCAAGTTCCAACGTACGAACCTTCAGTCCTCCCATCGCTAGTAAGTCAACAACACACTCTGACCGCAAGTATCTCTTGGGTGGAGTACGGGATCTCATCGCTCGCACAAAGCGACTTGTTGACGTCGATTCTCTCCTGCGTTTTAGCATCAGCTTCGTCTTTCCGTCAGATCTCGTCTCGCAAATGTCTCATCATTCTCGACCCCACTCTAGCTTCGTCCTTGTCTCTATACAGTCCGTCCTTTCCAAGTTTCGGCTGCTAGAGTCATATGCAACACTCCGCAGACAGTCTATTGTATCTCATCCACAGCAGCGGCTGCTTCAGGTGGGTGCTCTCGGCATCTCGATCCACTTTCCTAGTCGCGCTTTCTTAAATTTTCTCCCAGTCATACCTTCCCGGTAGGCTGATTAGATTTCGAGTCTTTAGGAATTCTACCCTTCTGCTTGCTTCTCAGTGTTGATCGTTTTATGCGCGATGACGTACCTTTTCCTTGTCGATTCTTTCTCTCCGCAATGCCGAATCTGTGAGATTCAAGCCAATCTTTTTGCTTGGGCATCAGCATCCACTCTCAGATGCTCACTCTGCTCTTCCATTTTTCCTGCTTCCGGCTCCTATCTCTTGCAAACTCAAACTTTCTTCCTCAACTCATCAACCTAATATGCTTTGTTGCGTAACGAAGGAAGCCTTCTCGGTATGTCAGAAAGTCCCTCAGATTCGTCCATCCTATCTCGGTTTCAGCATTCTCGCTCGCACTTGTCTTGTAGATTTATTCATTATGCCTCATTCGGATACTGCGCATTAGCTTTAGTCAAGGTTTCATGGCTGCCTTACCGCGAGTAACCTTCCATCGATCTGGATAGTGTTTTCGTATCTTCGTCCTGAAACGATCATTCCTCTCATCGCACCAAATCTGTGTACCAAAGGTAGCTTTTCTGAGGCTCTTCCTCGACTATACACGGTTCTTGAATCTTGTTACGGCTTTAGCCTCGCAATAACGGGAATTGAGCGCACATACCCCATCCATAGAGCGGCGTTGAGAGTCAACTCCACGAAGCCCTGCAATTGTATGCATCGTCTTTCCTTATGCACTCCGTTCCTGTCTCTCCCCGCTATTCGACCTCATCCGCTACGGCCCCTATCAGACCTTCCTGCCTTTCAATGGCTTGAAGGTCCTAGCTGGGGCCAACATCAAAACGGAGCAAGATGAAAATCTACCTATCTCAAGATCGGATCCTACTTCTGTATATCCCAACGACGGATTGGTAATGGATCGCCATCGCTTCGGCAGTGGCAGATCTCACCATTGGTGGCCCAGAAAAGAAGATGTCTATCCATTCACGCCAACTCCGACATTTTCCACATTTTCGTCGCTCTTTGCTTACTTGATTCCTTCCAAAGGCATCATCGAAGTGTGCTGACAATTTCTAGGCAAGTCGATTAGCAGAGTCGCTTTTTCTCTCGGATCGTATAGCGGCTTTTGCGCAGCTTACTTGCCATCAAGCCAGGCATGCCCGAGAATAACCAATGTGAGAGTTCCTTCCATTTTTCAAGCGCCCTCTGTATCGAATCTCTTCCATTTCCTTCTGGCACGGCCCAACCCCCTGGATCTTCCTGCCTTTCTGTGGCTTGAAGGGCACACGTGGGGCCAAGATAAAACACCAACGGAGCAAGATGAACACCTGCCTTTCTCAAGATCGGATCATACTTCGGTATTTCCTTACGACGGATTGGCAAGTCGGCGCCGTTGCTTCGGCAGCAGCTGACCCCACCATTGGTTCTCCACTAGAAACTACACTGACCAGCTCCGACATCTTCATATTTGATTTCAGACCTCTCTTTCTAATATCTTGAGTTAGTGACGGCAACAGAGTGTTAATGAATCCTAGGCACGCGAGTAAGCTTCTCCGCCCCTTCTTTCCTGAATTCTCTCCGGGCTTCTTCCTCGCCAGACTGCGATCTGATCCAAAGCACCACTACAGTAGGCATTTCTATCTTCTCTTTCTAGCCAGCTTGTCGTTGTACTCTCTATTACACCACCTCCTCGGCCTCTTGGCTAGCTTCCTGTCGCTCCATGGCTTGAAACTGATACTGGAGGCAAGAACAAATACCCACGGAGCAAGATGAACATCTGCTCTTCTCAAGATCGAATCACACTTCGGTGTGTTCTAACAACGGATTGGCAATGGCTGGCCGTTACTTCGGCGGGGGCAGACCCCACGACTAGTGCTTGGTACCTCGCACCCGCTCCGACATTTCGTATTCATCGTGCATCGTTTTGCTTTCTTGCTCGTTGTGAAGAAAGAGCTGAAGCTTTGGTGTAGTGGATGTTGAAGAAATTCGAGGAGTGTTGAGAATTATGTCGCGATTGCAATGTTGCCGAAGTGTTGAGGAGAGTGTGTTGCAAGAGGTATGTTCGCATTCAGCATCGGATCTCATGGCTTGCTGCACGCATTCCTCTGATTGTTTGGCGTGGTCGTCGGCCTTACAAAGTCCTTTCCTGCCGTTCAATCGCTTGAGAGAAAAGTTATGGGCCAAGATTGACGGAGCTCCGTGGACTTTTGCCCTACGAACGGCTCGCGCCAGCGCCTTCTTATCCATCGGCTCCGACATATCCGTGTACTATTTCTCTTCCTTACTTCTTGGTTTTGGATGACTGAAGAAGATGGAAGCTGAAGCTGATGATTCAAGCAGGCGTCGCTCAAATGATTGGTCGATACAAGGTCGGTCTTTTGCCTCCCTTTCGTTACCTCTTCCGTGGATGGTCCCGTACTTTTGCTCGGAACGAGTCGCTTGCAGCCTGCGACTTTCATATTTCTCTTGGATACGCAACGGCCTCACTAATCCCTTTCTCGTCGCTCAATGGCGTGGAAAGTGAAAGACGGGCCGAGATCAACAGGGCTCGGTGGACGCAACTCCCCACGAACGGGCGGCGTGCCAGCACCATATCATGTCCACCGGGCCCGACATTTTTGTTACGGTTTTGCTTCCGTATCTTCGGAGAGGTGTTACGCTGGTGATTCATGATGGATGCCGGTCCATTCGGCGTCGTCTAGGGGATGGCCTTTGTCCTGACTATCGCTCTCCTTCTAGTAGATGGTTGAAACGTTGGCAGCGTATACCAGTATTGTGCTGTTGGATATGAACTGGCCCTTATTTGTCCTTTCTTGCCAGCCAATGGCTTGGAGGGTGGGATTCGGGCCAAAATTAGCAGGGCTCGGTGGACGTTCATATCCTTACGAGTGGGCAAAGTCCAGCAGTCGCGGCGTTCGCCGGGTCCGACATCTTCGTATATGATTGCGTTTCCGCGATACTCCTTTGTTCATCTCGTCGCTAGACAAATGGGCGTTGAGCGGGTAGTTCGTGATTGATGTTAGTGCAAGCGACGGGGGATTTAGGAGGTCTTTCGTCCTGATCTGCTTTCTGCTTCCGGTATCCTGCTCTATATCAGCCATTTGGAAGCTCTACCGCCGAGTTGAGTAGCGGGCCTGATACGGCCCTCGTTTTTCTTTTCTTGTCGCTCAGTGGCTTGAAGGGTGGGTTTTGGGCTAAGAGTAGTGGAGATATTCGAAAGCGCTGATCTTGGGATGGCAGTCCAGTAGAGTCAGGGGCATCGATGGAGCGAGTTCGCTGGCTTCAATATCTCGAAGTCATCTTCATTTGGGTAGAGACTTGGCGGTGGATTTATTGGGCGGCTGTATGGTTGGTCCAGAAGGGTAGTGCGAAGCTGCGATTTGGTAAGTGCCGGGATGTCGCTGTGGTGAGTCTTTCTTGTCCATCATTGTCAGAGTCTGATACTTTCCTCACTCTCTTCTTGATTCTCCAATTTCTTTTCCCCTTACTCCGTTTCGTAAATTGTTAATTATGCCGCAAAATCTTATCTCAAAGCTCAAAAACAATAGCAGGTAAGCGTGCGATTGCTTTTAGTTCATCTCCTTCTTCTTCATCTTTCACAACTTTCTTCCCGAGGTTCGAGCTGTGCAGCCAGCAAACCCATAATTTCCAAAGGCCCGCCCTTTTGTCAGTCGTCTTTGGACCACAATTCTCCACTCTTTTTCGTTGCAGCGCCAAATATTCATATCTTTCCAATCTTCCGATTCGTAAAGGGCTAGTCTTGAAGCCTGGTCGCAGATGCTGAAAGATATTCATCTGATTGAATCTCACACCTCATCTCAATCTTCTTTCTACGACTCCTTGCTTGCCCTGTCCTTCTTCCCCACGCAGCTCTCCTCATTCATGGAGGTCTGCACTAGGCAAGAAAGCGTCATGTTGCCAGTCGATCTTCTGAATGCAACATCAGTCGTAATTTAAGCGCCGCTCCGCTCAGGTTCTTGGATCTGGCCTTGTCAACCAGGCAATCTCTCAAAGTTTCCGTTGTTCCTGGGAGTCCTTCGCTCCGTCATTTAGATCGTCGAACGGGGATATAAGAGCTGCGGGCTGTCCGGCAGCCTCTAGCAATGATACAACTTGGAAGTCGTGCAGCAGTTGTCGCGGCGTCCTCCTTGGTCTGTTGAAGCAGCTGGACACTGTTTAAGGATGCCCGCGTGTGTGTCTTCTTCGTCAAAAGTTTAAGGAATCTCAGAGAGATAAGCAGATTCCCAGTTGTTTTGTCCGGCTTCGGCTGTTCGCTGCCGCTTGCGCAGGCCGTTTGCTTCGTCTGCTTTAGGGCCCCCGGGTGATTGTCAAGCTATGGCCGCCGTCGTGGGGCCAACAAATAATGTCGTAGATGATAGTATCCTTATGGGTTTCCTCGCCTCATGGACCATGGGTTGCCGCCGGCCTGGGTTTGGCTGCGAGGTCGAGGCCGTTATGCAAGTTGTTAAGAAATAGCGGGGCCTTGCAGATCTTGCAGGCCCGAAGCAGTGGTTACGCCACTGTGACTCCGTATGGGCTAACAAATGGCTAAAAAGAGTAGACAAGCCTGCTCACCGACGAGCTTGCGGGACTCTCGCTAGTACTATCTGCAACCTGAATTCAGGCGCAGGCTATCCGCCAAGGCCGGCCCTATAAAGCCGTCTACAAGTCCCAAAAGTAACCTGCGGGGATCCCTACGGCCCGCATCACGATTTCCTGTCCCATACTTCAAGTCCGATCGTCGAGGCTTGAAGCATGAGGGCGGTTGAAATAAGCTTTGGCGGGCTGGTGCCGGTCGCGCGACGCGCCGTGGATCGCCGGACCTAGTATGCTGGTAGCGAATCAGCGGCGCTGGTAGCCGAGATGCTCGATTGGGAAACCGCAATGAAGAAAGATTGCCTGGTCTAGCGATGGGCCGGGCGATGAGGAGTTGTGTGGTGATGGTGTTGGGAGGGGTGGGGAGAATGGTCCGGGTATGAACGATGGCGTTGACCGCGTTCTGGAGTGTTTGTCGTAGTGCTGTTGAAGTCGAACGGCCCAGGGGGATCTTGACATGCGATAGACGCGTGCAGGAAGTCAGTATCGCTCGTCTGATATAGGAGCAAGAAGCTTTCGCTTGCTTGGGAGTGTTGCTGTGGTTCGATCCTGTCGCCATGGAGGCTTGGCACACTGGCAACCTTCACCCCATGGGCAGCGTCAACTGAAACTCCTCGAACCTTCAGATCTTGACTTCCTCAGCTTCTAACATTTCTTCAAGTTCAGGCGCAGCTCCCTTGTCTTGCTTCTTCAAACCTCCAAGTCTTCATCTTCACCACCCCTTTCTCTGCTAAAATGGGCCTCTTCTCCACCATCGCCAGCCTCTTCCGCCGCGATCAGCAGCCCTTCGTGCCCGTACAAGGTTCCACCACGTACGCGCCTGCAGGCTGGCTCTCAACGCGGCAATTCAAGCAGATCATCCGGCAACATGGCCGTAGTCTCCCCGCCGACGTCTTCTTCGCCCTACGCCCCTTCGCAGTCGCGAAGAGCGTTTTTCTGGACATCTTGTACCGGTACCAGTGCCCGAGCGTACGGCAGATGGTGATCAACGTTGATGGAGCTCGGGGATACAACCACGTATGCGCAACACTTTTCCTGCAAATGCAACATCATATACTGACTGTGTGACGCGCAGGCGTTTCATATCGAGCGCCAGGACCTCATCCGCCTCCAACGCACCCTGCCCGCGCTGGAGCGCTTCGTCGTCTACGTCTACGCCAAGGGGGCGCTTGTGCGGCTGGTTGAGTGCGACATTGACCAGGCTGGCCGCTGGAGCGTCGAGATCTCTGTTCCTGCCGCGCCGCCGCTCGCGCTGGGGGGGCAGTTGCCAGTTACTAGACACGACGCTGCAGATTGGCTGCTCGTTCGCGGCGATCTGCCGTTTTGATACCGTGGTTTGGCGGACTCTGGCTAGCAGCTGCGATCTAGACAGTCAGCTGATGGCGGTTGGGCGTGATATGCCTCCTCGTGCTGAGATAGCGATTTGGGGGGTTCGATTCTGGAGTCTCGGCGATTTGGTTTGGGGGTTCGTGTGAGAAATGGAGGGACTCCGGCGATGAGCTCGAACCTTTACGGGGTGCCGGGGATAGTGGAGCTCGATCCAAACGAAAACGAGCTCATAGCCAATTTAGAGGCTAGAAACGCGTGTCGCAATCTCCTCGCTTCAAATCCAGTTGATTTTTCAGCCTTTATCCCTTCCTCTGCGAACCAGCACTCTATCGCGCGGCTGGTGAAGATGTTGTGGCGCCGTTTGGAGTCCTCTGTAGTCTCAAGACCGATGCGAGCGTGGTGTCACGGATCTGGCGTCCCATATTAAGCTTGGCCGTTAAGTCTGATCGTCCAGTATATCCAGCCCCAGGCATCACCCCCGGGGTCGAGCTGATTGTACATCCTCCAGTACCAAGCGTCGGCCTGGTCCGACCTTGATTGTGCGTCCTGCTCATTCCCCAAGCTGCAACCCGCCGCTGAGCTTGATTATGTCTCCTCCACCGGGTGATTCGACCGTGGTCGTTCGAGCGCCGCGCGCTGTAAGTGTGTGAGAGGGAGGGGTTGGGGGAAAGGTAAGGCGGCGAGGGATGGGGAAGGTGGAGGAGGGGAGGAGGGAGGAGGGTCGAGGGGTGGGAGGGGGAGGAGGTCGCAGGGTGGATGAAGAGCCGGTGGCTAGGAGGAGGACGAGGACGAGGACGAGGACAAGGAGGAAAGTATTTCAGGCCGGGAGGGTCGCATACTAGACGTGAAGATGTAGCAAGTTAGCGATTTTGTTGCCCAAAGAGTTCATGCTGAGGTGTTCCAGGGCTACGCGCTGAGAAAGCTGAATGATGACTGGCAAGGGGGAGGGATTTCATGAGATCTGAGAAGACGATGTTAGGGTTCGAGCTGTGTAGCGGAAGAGACACTGGGTGGCTGGATCTGCCGGTGGAGTTTGTTGGTTTTTCTTGTATGGTCTGGCGAAAGCCCGGGCTGCGTTCTGGCGGTCGCACAAAGAGAGTTGATTTCTTTGCTTTTCTTAGGAACTCTCTCGTAGCCTAAAGAGCTATCGGATGGGGCTTGAATGTTGTGTCGTGAGGTCAGCGCTGGGGATATCCGAAAGTAGCGGGAGCTGACGGGACCGCGCCTCTGCGCGTTGGCATGTTCGTCTACACTCACTTTTGTCTAGGAAAGCTTTGGAAAATACAGATCCATAGAGAGCAGATATACGACGGTCGCTTGGCCCAATATGGGGAGAGTCTATCTGTCGGGCCTAGGGGCGGTTTGCTGGGTAATACGGCGGTCAGGATGAATCAAGCAGGGCTATGAAGTGGCCGCGAAGGCGAGGTGGCCTCTGAGAAGGCCTTATCGAGAGCGTTAGGAAGTGTCGGTCTAGAAACAAAGCTGTTCTTACTGAAATAATGGCAATAAGAAATCATGGCAGTTCTCCTCCTTGTGGACGTCGAGGTGACGGGGGCGCAGCAGCGCCAGGAGTGCGTGGAGATAAAATGAACTAGAGTTAAGAGAAGTGTCTCCAGAAGGCGGAAGATGATATAGAGAGAGTGGTGAGATAGGCTAGGATGGGTGATGTTTGGTGTTGAGGATGGTGTCGCGGCTTGACCTTGACTCAGGGTTTCCGGCCTACGTGCCTAGCCAATTACAACTTCTACAGAGAGGGGTTGGGGTACGGTGGCCTACCCTGCCTACCGCTGCCTACTGCTGCCTCTAATTAGTACTTATGCCTACGCTCCCTATGTAGTATATAGTCTGCTCGTACGGCTTCACAAATCAAACAGAGTTCACGTCAATTTGCAACCTAAGTCCTTGGTGGTGCGAGGCCGGTTGCCCACGCAGCGACCATCGACGATATTTTGAAACGCACAGCTCGCAGCAAGGAGGCCAGGGCAGAGTAGATTGCTCCCCTTTGGATCAGTGTTATCACTTGGTAACAATTTTGAAGTTTTCGTCTGTCGCCACAGGAGTGAGCCGGTCAGGGGAGCTTTTCGGAGACATTCAGTACATCGCCGCAGACGCACGTCTTCAGGCATTCTTTAGGACGGCTACAAAGCTTGGTGGATAATTATGGCAGGAGTAGAACTAGTAGTGTTTATACAATATCCAGAGTAGTTAGGATGTCCACTACATAGTCCTGAAGCATACTCAGTCTTTACCGGAGGCTTTACAAGCAGGGGGCACCCAGCCCCACCTTTCGGCAAGGTCTTCGGCAAGCTTGCCCGTGGACACACTTAAATTTTGTTGTTCCTCCCTCTACCACCTTTCCTTCTCCACCAACCTTCCTCACCTCACTATCAGCCTTGGACCAGCAGTATCTGGATGGATGCACGCCGATTGACTGCCCCGTGTCTCTCGTTTGGACATGGATATCCGCCGCCTGAAGTTGCTCGACGCTGCCAAATTCTCCGCAGCAGCTCACCTCCACGACGCTGCTTCCTCAACAGCACTCTCGGCCAACGCACTGAAGCAGAAAAAAAGGTCAAGCGTTCTTGAAAAACCGCGCGACCGGAGCACGCTTAATGGTCAGCAATGCCCATATTTTCTGGAACGATATCTTCGTGGACTTCAAAGTTATACAGCTAGCTATTCTTATGGAGCAGATCACGAAGCTCGCTGAAAAGTATGCGAATGGCCAGCCTGCGCATGCGGAGAGTAGCATGCTCGCGGGAGCTTCACGGAGAAGAAAGTTAGCGGTCGGTATCGAACTTTCCGGCACGAAGCTCAAGGGCGTTCCCATCATCGCGCAGCAAACCGAACCAGAGAAGAATCGCCAAGCTCGTCGGTATTCGCGGGAGTTCCACGGAGAGAGCACGGAGCTTGCGCCGTTAATCTCTAGCATTTCCAGCTTCCAGGTATGCCTTCAACTCTTCTTCTCGCCCCCAGCGCTAACTTGGGCAACAACAGGCGATGGTTCGGTAGCCAGGACAAGAGTCAAAGGCCACTCTTGGTTACAAGTTCAGGCGTATTAGACGAAAAGTCATGCACCACAAGGGCTTAGGTGGAAGCAAGTGCGTCAGCTTGAGAGATGATGGTAAATGATCCTCATCTGAGAGGATGCGGTTCCGGGGTTGTCGATGCCCGGCGCAGGGACTCAATCTGCAATTTGATGGAGATGAGGGACCTCGAGATGGATGCAAAAAGAGTTTGAGTGACTATGCCACCGTTCGGCGATGAAGCTGTGGGATCTAGGCCATCCGCGCTCAAGACGAAGATAAGTCTATGCCCTCTTCAGGACAAGGATGGACCGACAAGGAGAAGGTTAGTATGCTGTCCCTGTACGCAACAAACATGACACTAACAGAAGCTGCAGCTCGCCTACATCATGATGCTCACCAATGGCACCTCCATCGACTGGAACAAGCCGCCCGTCTCCGAAGACCGAACACTGATCGCCAAGAGGCAAACCGGATCACTACCGTCAAGTGCAACAGGGCTGTTCTCCTCCGGAGCGCCGAATACTTCGTCAGACTCCAGCACAAGGACCCTAAGGCGGATGTCGTCAACTTTGATCGCCGCGGAGACACGCTTGATGACCTGGAGGTGTGGCTTGGAGCATTCCTGCTAGAGGACACTCCAGCGCACTAGAGAGGGCATCGAAGAGGAGAGGGCTCGTATTAAGGGCGTATGGTAGCAGCGGCACCAATGCCCTGCATCACAGAGATCAAGCATGGGAAGCCCAGCTCGCCGCCAGCTCATCGGCTTCAAGGACGTCCGCAAAGTCGGCCTCAGCGCACTGCCCGGTCACCCAAGGAAGACAAGTCTATCGGTGGAGTGTGTCCGCGAAGCTGGACTGCGATATGGAGGTCATGGCTGACTTTGTCACCGCCATGGCGCATGGAATGTACGAACTCTCCTCCTCCCCTATCCGCTGTGCAGAAATTGATTTTCTGGGAAGAATTCTACGAAGAAGAAAGCTATCGGATGGGAGACGCCGCGATGCATCAGCGCCGTGCGCAGGATCAGCCCCAGCGCAATCCTCAGCCACCCAAGGAAGACAAGTCCGTCGGTGGAGTGTCCGCGAAGTTAGATTACGATATAGAGGCCATGACTAACTTCGTCACCGCCATGGCTCACGTAAAGTACGAAATCTACTCCCTTCGAATCTGCCTCGCAGACATTGACATATTCCGAAGCATTTCACCAGGCAAAGAGCTCCCGCCCTCATACCGTCCGTAGATGGGTCGCTCAAGTGTTGCGCGTGACTAGACTGCCTTCAACGACTATTCTGCTCAGTCTGCACTACTTGTCGTCGTGGTTGTCTATGCTCTCTACTGGAGACAGGCCTTCTGAGGTTGACATGTATTGCACCGTTACTGTTGCTTTAATTCTGGGCAGCAAGTTTCTTGACGACAATACGTTCATCAACGTCAGCGGCATCGCCGTGGCAATTTTGAATGAGATGGAGACGGAGTGGCTTGTTGCAATTGACTTCAAGCTCCATCGCGACCCAAGGGCTGGTGTTCCTGGAATGAGCATTGGAAAGAGTACCAGCTGGTTCGACTCAATCGCCCCAACACGCTTATTCCATCCATACTACAGTGCAGCGCTAGTGGGTTCTCAACCGAGGCCGGGCCGAGGTCAGCGATGAGGCAGTGAGGGAAAGCTAAAGGTCAAGAATATTCGGATAGGTTTGGAGGCGAAGGGAGTTGAAAAGTGAAAAAGGAGAGTGTGTTTAGGAGAAGAGGGAGGTTGCGAGATATAGACATGGTGTCGTCACAAGTTGTTTTCTGATGAAATATGAATGCTACCCGATCTATCTCAGTTGCCCAGAACAGCTGCATAATTATCCAATATCTTTCTTATATGCTACTTTGTGACTTCTAAGTTGTACCTCTTCAGCACAGCGCCCACAGCTATTCTGTGGGCGAGTGTACGGAGTTGAAAGCTGCAATGAGCAATATCAGGTAAACCAGCTCCATGATATACAGAAGCTATTTGTGTTGTTCTAGGGGCTGTGAAGCACGCCGGTTCACAAAAGCCATTCACCCAGCGGTACTTCACACGCGGTTCACGATGCCCACGGACGCGCCTGCACGCAGTATTCACTGTCGCTGAGTGTCACACCACGCAGCAGACGGCGGTAAAGTTCTCCGTTTTTCCGCCAGACCGCGCCTTCTGAAAACTTGATGAAGCCGCCCGCCGTAAGGGCGGCGAAAGCTGCTGTTAGTGAATGCTGCTTTTTGACCACATGTTTCCCCCCGACGGCCACGTACCAACACGTTGAGTTTTGTACATGGCTGCCACATGCTTCCGAACTGCACATCATGCCATAGGCAATCTGTGCAAGCAACGACCGTTCAGTGCGGGACGCATCGTAGGTGCGGCAAGGCTGGTCTCCGGCGCGATTGCTCACCCCCACGGCTGCGGAGCAGGACGCTGAGGATGCACAGCGAGTCCTGATAGTCATTATATAGCATACATGAGCCTGTAACCTCCGCAAATGCGGCGGCCTCTCAGTGACGCAGCGGTCGTAGGCGCTGGGCTGGCCGCTCCCTGGGCCGCATTCCCGCCACCACGACCTCGCGACGTGCCGCCGGAGATCGCGTATGCGTATAGAGTGCCTCTGAGCTCTTCGGTCCCTCCGAGAATATCAGCGACGGCTACAGCTGCTCAGTGCGGGTCGGCTCGTGGCTGCGGCGGAGGCGGAGGCGGAGGCGGAGGCGGAGGCGGCTTGGAGTCGCGATCTCTCGACGCCGCGGCCACACAACGTTGCGCTGGGAATAGACAATGGACTTCGAAAGTGATAGATACCGTGAATGAGATCGTAGAGGCCGCTGATGGGGCGCAATCCCAGTGATGAATCCCTTGCGGGCGCTCGGGGGGGCAAGGCTGGCCGCTTCCTGGGCCGAATCCCCGCCACCACGGGCTCGCGATGTGACGCTGGAGATCGCGTAGGTGTATAGAATGCCTCTGAGATCTTTGGTCCTCCGAGAATATCAGCGACCGCTGCGGCTGCTCAGTGCGGGTGGGGGTTGCGGTCGCGCCGAAGGAGGCCGGGAGTCGCGATTTCGCAACGCAGCGGCCACACGATGCCGCGCTGGGGATGTAGCATGGGATAGAGATGCACTCACGCTCCTGTTGTTACTATGAAGGTGCTCGAAGGCATACCGCTCCTCGGTGAAGGACGCGGGCGGCGCGGTCTAGGGCGGACAGCCGCCGCGCGGGCGAAAGCTCAACGCCATGACTGCGGAACGGCAGGCTGAGGGTAGGAGAAGCCAATATGGCTTAACGGGCCGCCTTACGATGCTATGGGATTGTAGACAGATTGCCCTCTTTTCAGTGACGGATGGCGCTGCTCGTTGCGGGTGCCATAGCTGCCAGCCACGGCCCTGAGGCGGGCGAGAGCTCAACGCCACAACCATAGGACGGCAGGCTGAGGGTCGGAGAGGGCTAGAGAGCTCGGCCGGTCGCCATATGTTGCTATGAGGCTGCAGGAAGGGTAATGGCTTCTCAGTGACGGACGACGCTGCTGGTTGCGGCTGCGACATCCGCCAGGCATGGCCGCGAGGCGGGCTCGGCAACACGCGTACGCCGGGAGACGGCGCTGGATGAAGAGTCACAGAGTGCATCTTAACGAGTCTCAAGTCACAGCAAGCAAAAGGGAAGGGTGCGGGCATGATGGCGGGAAGGGCGGCGGGGCCACGCAGGCCGTCATGGCCAGGCCTGAGGCCACGCAGTCGGGCAGTCTGACGGCATGCGCGCGTACACAACCTCAAATATGAATCCGGACCATTGGAATGCTTCCTTAGAGCAAGAGCAGAACGAGCAGCAAGCCTCTGTGGCGTCTAGCGGCCGGCCAACACCAAGCAGTCTGAGCAGACCTGAGGCCGCGTAGCCGGGCAGCCTAACGGCGAGCGGGCGTCAATAGCTTCAAGAAATGAGCGGACAGCTCGAATGTATCATCGAGGCAAGAGAACAACGATAAGCAAGCTTCAGTGGCGATGAGGTGCCGGTCAACACCACACGTGTTGCGCACAATCCTATCGCGACATCAAGGTGCATCACGACCAGCACAACACCAAGAGCGAGGGCAGCAAAGACAACGACGCAAGTCAACCACAAGCAAGGCAGACACAAGCCGAACTTCAAAAGGATGATTGGTTTCTTCTTCAAGAACCCACACAAGGTGAGTCGCTCAATGAAAAAAAGTAGGGCTGTATCCGACCCGGCGGATTCAGCAGACCATCAAGAGGGTCGCCACAACTCCTAACCGGGTACCATACACCACAGAATCTGTTGAAGACCCTGGGCGGTACCACCTACAACGTGTATTAGCGAGTCGGATTGCCAAAAGGGGAAGAGGAGACACTTATCTTTTTTCCATTAAGGTACCAGGCTGCATGAAGTCGAGTGAAGAAGATCTCCCTAAGGAGAAATGTAGTTAGCCATTCAGTCCGGTCCAGGTCCAGGTCCGGTCCAAGGAAAGCGAGGCGCTGGCGAGGCGCTGGCGAGGCGACGGCGACTGCAGCTGGCTAGGCTGGGGGTGTTGGAGAGGTTGAAGGTTCGAAGGACGGAGTAGCTTAAGAAGGAAAAACTCTGCCAAGACGCTAGTGTAGTAAGCAACGCTAGTTCTTTTAATCGACCCCGGTAGTTCTATTTTCCAGGCGGTGTACACTTCTTCCGAGTTGCCTGAGACCTAGGTAGGACACCAGGGACAGGTCACGAAGCGGGGTATCTCTACTGAGGCACGCTATCTGTCACCTGATCGCTAAAGCTCCGAGTGGCTCTACAGTGCACAGCATCACAAAACAGGCATAGCATCCTCTTCCTTCAGGCCCGTCCCTTCACCCTCAACCCACAGCTCCATGGCCGATATTACGTACGAAGAAGACGAGCACAGCAAGCTGAGAATTAGCCGTCAAATTGACGAGGTCCTGACAGCCGAGCCTGGCGAGCAGAGAAGGATGTACATCTCGTCCGCTTCCAGTACGGCACAATGTCTAATTTGCTAATAGACACACAGCAGAGAGGCGAGTCTGATACCGATCGAGTATACCGAAGTGGAAGCGGAGGCTCACCGCCAGTTGGAGGCTTCTTTCTCGGCAAAGAAGTACGTCAAACACTCAACTACTTGATCATGTCGCTGTACTGACGAATTTTTCAGTGTGGAGGAATGCAAGGGTGAACAGCGCGTGAGAATAAAAGAGGAAGAGGCGATGGCGGGGAACAACTCTGGTCCTACCATTGGAGGAAACGCGGTTGAAGGAAGCCCAATTGCTCCCGCTCCACCGTCTACACAGCCTCAGTGATCAACCCGTTTTTGGTTAGTAGGGACGAGAGGGCTGGGGGCGGAGAATGGGGCGTCGATCTCGTCGACGAGAAGATCCGGAGTGAGGCTGAAGAGATAGGAACATGCCGTGAAGAGATGGGATTCATCTTCCAGGGCCCATCGGAATGAGCTGGGAGACATCAAACCGACGGTGAGAAGTTTGGGTTTGGAAGTTTAGTACGGCCTGCGACATCTCTGGCCTTTAAAATGTGTAACTCTCATGATCCATTTGAATGCCATTCAAGCCTGTTATTGGCCTCTTCACCATTGCATGCTAGTGGTCCATTGAAGCCGTCTGTACGTGCTGATCTGTGATGCCTGAGACATTGACAGTGCTTCTACGCGTGCCGTTTGTCCAGTCATTAAGGTCGAAGCAGTTTCTGGTCTCAAATAGTGCACTGCTGGGTTCATATCCTTCACATCATTGAGCCACTACAGACGGTTGCATCGTATTGTCAGACAACTAGCTCTTTTGACTAGAATTCGACTGTTGAGGAAGCTCATATCTAGAGAGAATTAGAATCGTGGTATCATTTCTACACCGCTGAAACCCCATCTTGAATCAAGCAAAGTAAAAAACTGCATTTAGGCCATCCTCTGTCCCTCAAACAGCCCTCAATAATAACACCCTTCTCCAAAAGTTCTTCCTGTTGACCCAGAAATGAAAGGGTTGATGCTGTAGTGTCTGCCGTCAGGCTGGCGGGAGGAGTCCAGGAGGGCCAGGTGAGCCTGTCTACTGCATCAGCAGCCGGGCAGGATGAGTGAGATTTGAAGGCAGCTGCCCATACCTTGAGCTCAGCGCCTGAACAAGGTACGGGTGTGTTCAGTTGTGGAGGGCGCCATGGGTTGCGCGACGTAGAACTCACAACGCAACGGCGTCAGTCCTGTACCTCGGAAGTCCACCACCAGGGTCGAAAGCGCAGGGAGGCACCACTCGCGGTACCGATCGACGACGGGCTGTTCCAGCGAATACGCCACCGCGTCGAGGAAGCCTTGGGCGGCGCGCTGAAACAAAGAGACGTTAGTTCAAGTCTAGGGGCGTCTGAGAGGCAAGCTACGTACCTCCTGGACGACCTTTGCGCTCAGCTCAACCACTATCTCCAATCGTTCCAGGCGATGGAGCCTGCTAGCCTTGAAGGGCTCAAGATATGAAGGCGAAAGGTGCGGCCAAGCATCCTCGCCAGGGCGAAGAATGACCCTTACGAATAGAGTGGTCTTGTGTGCCAGAGCGCCGCTCGCGATGTAAGTTCGAAGCTCTGGCAGAGTGACTTGTTGCATAGTCTTAATCCGCGTTTTGACGGGCAGTGGCCCTGGGCGTCGTGTCATGGCGGCCGCAGCGGGGGGTGAGGTGGGCAAAGGAGTGGGAGTATTGTGAAGTTCAGCGGACATCGCTCTGAAAGGTTGCTTGTTGCGCGGAGGCTTTCGAGGTGGTGCTTTTACTGTCGAGTTCTCCAGGGAATGGCCTTCTACCGGAAGATGCATTACACGCTATTGAGATCCGCGCATGAGAGAATTGGAAGTCCATTCACCATTAAAATTGCCTCAATGCATCATGAAAGACTCTAATGAAATACAGATCTCTAGAGAGCATGAATTGGAGAAGCTATGGACGCGTATGCTCCACTTATATAGCCGTCATTTGCGGTGCTTTAACACATTATCAAATATGTAGATGATGCGTAAGAAACGGCGCGCTGAATCTTGAGTCCTAGTATCGAGAAACACAGTTTCTGCTGGAAAGCGGGGTTGCAGTCCATCAATGAGTCGATAAGGCTTGCGAAAACCCTTGTGTCCTGGTCCAAGAAGTTACGTCTACGACCTTGATGATCGTTTCTTCTTGATATGTCCAGAAGTGTCTCACATAGATACAGTCATGCGCAGGAAGTTGTATGGGGCCTAGTGATTTTGGATTGTCTGCTATGGTCGCACTCTCATAAAGCTAGAAAGAAAAGCAAGACAAAGAGAGAAGGAAAGCCGTTTCCTCCGTCTGGGCTCAACAATCGTTCAATCGTGCCTGTTTGCCATGTGAAATCTTAGAGCTTGTCCTCCAGACTTCCTAAGTAGAGGTCGTAACGGGAAGGTAGGGATCTATGGCGGTTGTTAGTGGCATACAAAGACATTTGGCGGTAGGAACTACTCACGATTGAGGGTATCGAGAACCTGCTCCCAGGGGCCGTCGGCGATGCGCTCAAAGATGACAGAGGTGTTCTGGATCCTGCCATCCTTGTACCCAATGAGGATGATGTTGACATGTCGGAGGTTCGAGCCGATTGCTGTGAAGAGGCCAATCATCGGGTCTTTGAGGCGCGGGAGGAAATCCAAGGTGACCTGTATGCATCAGTCGTTGGGCCGGCAGGCTGGAGAAGGCTGGGTCGCGTACAATGTTGTCATCCGCCGTATACCCTACAATGAGCTCCAGCTCGTAGACGTTGTCACTGAGGGGAACAAAGAGAGACAGGTAGTCTTCAGGGCACGTGAGGTTATCTATCCATACCCCGAGCCGGACGGTCTCCAGGCGTCGAACCGACGGGATGGCCACATACACTCTGACCTGCTGCTTCAACAGCAGCTCGTTGCCGGACACGGCCTGCAACACAGCCTCTGTGGAAAGGGAGTTAACGCTGGTGTTGGGCGTAGAGCGGGTTGCTGAGGTGGCCATATTGTTTTGATAGAGTTGAATAAGCAAGAGTGAGATTTCGAGAGGAGATGTGATGCTGCAAAGTTGATGCCGCGAAGCTTTAACGACGCAGAAGTAGCAAAGTCGCAGCGGAACGCCATTGACGTCACCTGCAGATTCTTGACGAGATATAGTACTCGTGCGTCTCGGGATTCGGTGCCCGTAATTTGCGGCCTACGCAGACAGACTTGGTTCATTCGAGACCTGGCGCTTTTCAAACTCTATCACCTCTACTCCATCCGTTGCACCATCATACACTCGCCATGGTGGACTCAAACACCCGATCACCCTCTCGCGCGCTCGTTGATGACCTCCTCGATCAGAGTGTCCTTAGGCTGGTCATCTCCGGTACTCCACTCTCCCTGCGACAGTTCAATGATTTCTTGTCCATGGTGCAGGTAAAGACGTGGGCTATGATCGCCGTCGCTGTCGTCATTACTGACCTCCAGCGCCAGAGGGACTACTTGGCGCCCTTTGAGAATCTCGGAGGAGGCAGCATAGTTGCGGCAATCAACTTGACGGTCAACTACTCTACGACTCTGGAAGTGGTAGAATACCCGGGCGTTCCGCTTCTTAAGTAAAGCTACTAACAACATTTGCCCAGTTCTCGACTGCTTTCTTGCCCGCTTGCAACGACTTTGTAGAAGCTCTTAACGAGTTCTGCCCCAGACTGTGCGTCTTCACGATCATCCTACTGAACAACCGGCATGGATCACACCAGAAGACCGTAGCCCTGTACCGTCGACACCTTTCTGAGCAGATATGGGACCAAGCTGGCTTGTTTCACGAGGGTGGGTGTGCCTAGGATATTCCCCTTTATTCTGGTATAGTCGGATTGTTTAGTCACGCCTTTTCCTCAGCCAATGCCACCGGCAGCTCTTACAAGCTTGTGAACTGTAGGTCGAAACAGCCCTATTCCCCTGGCATGCCTTGCTTCTAACTATAGGCAGCTTGTCGCAGAACTATACTCTATACGGGCTTGGAGGGGATTTCACGAGATCTTCTGTGTCCAATCGGGATGTGAGACGGAGGGCCTCGTCTAGTCATGACTCTGGGTACTACGGCTGTTGAAGTCCTTGTCTTCTAGGGTATCTCCGAGGCGCTCGTTCAATGAGGTTCTCTACCTAAAGGAAGGTGGGGTTTTATGGAAAGCTTCTATGGATTGGTCGCGGTCTTCTACTGTGTTTGCTAAGTAGAAGATATGCCTGAGGCGTCTTGGTGTTCCGAAACGAATGATCAAACTCTATTAACATCTTAACAGCTTCTTTGACTCCATAGTCAATCCAAAAGGGTTCTAGCGGCGTAGTTTGCAGTGCATGCACTATTACATCACATGAATTAGTTTTGAGATGGTCGTGAAGCAGAACAGGACTGCGTTCCTATTTCCAAAACCTGGAAGACATCCGTATGACTTCGGGCGTTTTGGATAGAATACAGAATCTACCAGCTTCATATCCATCCTGTCACGCCTCAATCCATGCAACCTCCCCTCAAAACCCGCAGAGAATGCCCACGATTCAAGAACAAACAGCCGAGCCACTGTTCTTACCCTCAGTCCTTCAGTCTCATCCCGGACAGCCACCATGATGAATCAACATAGGTGTTGTTGGCACCGAACATACACTTTTGCCTTCGAATCGACCGATCGTTTGGCAGCTGCGCCGTCCATTCAATGTGTCGTGCCAGGGGGTGTCGAGGTGAGCATGAAGCCGCTCAGCGAGAGAAAAAGGCTTCAGCGGCGCTCCAGAAGTCCGCCGTCGCCTTGCGCACCCAGGAGAGGCCTCGCTCGTAGGTCGTCTCCGTATCAGCCACCTCCACCCACTTCCTGGACCAGACACCGCGGCGCATATGGCGAACCTGGGGTGGGACACGAAAGCGCTTCCACCAGCGCTGCCACTCCCGCTCTTCTCCCTCCAGGCAAACCACATCTCGTACAGGTTGGTGCAGCCCTGCTGAACGAGCCGCTCGATGTCGTCGATGGTGGGTAGCTCCTGGGCGAAATCGACGGAGTCGAGGACCGCTCCTGGGTCTTCATAGGGTTGGGTATGGTGGTTCAGCATGAACTGCCGCCTGTGTTAGCGCTGCTAGGTATAGGACTGTCGGTAGAACTCAGCATACCGACATGACGCCGTAGAGTTGATATCAGAGTGGGGATCAATCAATCAATCAACTTTGACGTCTCCAAGTTGATTGATTGCTTCGTTGAACAGGCTGTGATTGATTTGATTTGATTTGATTAATTTCTGAGATGCTCAAGTTGAGTTGATGAGATTGATACTTTTTGACCCCCAAGTTGAATTGATTGGTTTGATTGATAGATTGATTGATAAGTTGATTACTACTTAGGAGGTTTGATGCCAATTCGACGCCAGGAGCGTATAGATTGCAGAGCACTAAGTAACTCAGGCTTCATATTAAGGCGTCGTACGCCCAGGAGATCGCCAAGTTCGCTGAAAATTCTCTCACAATCAGCTGAGGAGGCTGGGATGGAGTAGATATCAAGGGCTAGCTGGCCTAGAATAGGATAGCGATCTCTTGTGATAACCCAGTACTGAATAGGGTCCTTCGCTAGTGGGTTGTCCTGTTTCAGAGTTGGCTCGCGCTTCCACCTCTCGTACTCGTCGTCAACAGTTTCCTCCATCTCCTGCTTGCCCTCCTCCATAGAGTTCCTAAGGAAGTCTGCTCGGTCGTTTGTAGGGCTTGTTCGACAGCGTTTTGCAGGCCTCACATCAGGAGACAAGGTAGGAGATGCTGCGCCAGCAGCCTTTGCAGCCACCTTATCCTTATGTGCCTGCCACAGCAGCCGGAAGGAGCTATAGCCATTTGAAAGCCAGTTCTTATACAGATATGGCCCATCGCGCTTTGTATTATGATCCTTCGGCACCTTCCATAGCCCCTCAAGCGCGTGTTTGTATGCTGGATAAAGTATTGTAGCTGCAAAATAGATAGGGGTGTCTTCTGTCTTCCCGTAGTAATCCGCGAGCTTCTTATGGGCGGTATTAACGTTAATAACTAAGTGATCTTCGGGTGCATCTAGATCCTCGTAGTCAATAGCCTTAAGCCTCTCCTTCTGCTCCTCAAGGGCCGAGAGTAGCCATTCGAATGTGATGAGAACTTCCCAAATAGCTCCGTAGCTACCAGCTGAACCTCTGCCCTGTAGCCACGTTGTTGCATCCTTAAACGGCTTAAGCAGCTGCTTATACTCTGTAATTGTTGCCCAATTACCTGCATTTAGCCCTCGCTCCTCAATAAAGCACCGCGGTTTCTCCTTCTTTGTATCCTTGCGCCGAGATGCTGCTTCAATATCGTATTCCTCGAGCTTCATGTGTATATACGCGTCGAGAGGGCCTTGGAGCTCGCAGGCGCGCTCAAAGCAATCGTAGTAAGAGTTCCACCGAGTTCTGACAGGCTTAATAAGCTCCTTTGGTTTATAAGATTCGTTGCGGCGCTTCAAGTCCTCTGCCTGCAGCTTAATGAACAGCTCTCGGGCTTATGGAGAGGCGCTAATAGATAATATAACGTCGAATAGCACCCCGATAGGCCCGGCTTTCCTCCACTCTGCCATCAGCAGTTCTTCTTCCTATATTACTGTTAGCGCAATGTAGAATAGCAATAAGATTAGAGACGTGATTTTACCCGTATATTCACGTCCATGCTCTTAAATACCTCCTTATCCTTACCCCATATAATTGCTTAGGCAGCTAAGTTGAGAATATGGCAGGTACAGCGTAACCGACGCTGGGAGATGCTGAACTCGAACTCATCGGCCATCGCTATTAAAGCAGTGTCGTTGTTTATGGCGTTGTCAAGTACAAAGTAGCCAAGGCGCTCAGCATCAATTTTAAACAATTGTAACGTTGAGCTGACTATCTCCGCGATGTTCTTGCCTGAGTGCTGGCCTAGAAGAACAGGCAGGCCTAACAAGTAGTCCTCTGGCCGGCCATTCTCGTTTAGATGATGTACACATATCCCAGTGAGCGCACGCTTGTTGCCAACTGAAGTCCAATTATCGAATGATATGTGGATGAGGCTAGTCGCCTGCTGGAGGTGTTT